ACACACACACACACACACACACACACACACACACACACACACACACAAATTAAATCTAAAGTAGAACAAGACAAATAATAACACAGTATTATTTACTCTTATTTTGAAAACTACTAGTAAGGAATGCAAACTAATTGACTAGTTCCCTTTGATAGCATATTTGCTCACCGACATATGGTCCACTGGCACAGAACTTCTTTTGAGAAAGCTTTAGCATTCTGTCATCTTCTACCTAAAGAAGCAAAACAAAAACTATAAAAACAATGGTGATTTTGGGTGGAGGTGTTCTGTGACAATGCACACGTGAAACCAGTAGAAACAAATGTCTTCCATGATGAAGATAAGAATACTAAAATACACAAAACAAAAACAAAAAGTTACTGTTTAAGAAGGGGATCATGAGCCTCACCCCTAGCTGATAAGCAGCTGCTTTGTGTGTGTGTGTGTGTGTGGGGGGGAATCAATTTTCTTCAGAGGTGTGGTCCCTGGTAGGTTGTTCATGGTCCAGTGGATGGCCCCGTACCCATGTGATTGCAGTGAGTTTTTTTTTTTTAATTAATTAATTAGTTAGCTAATTATTCATTTGCTTTGCTTTTTTTTCGAGACAGGGCTTCTTGTGTAGCCTTGGCTGTCCTAGACTTGCTTTGTAGACCAGGCTGGCCTTAAACTCACAGAGATCTGCCTGCCTGTACCTCCTGAGGCTGGGATTACAGGAGTGCGCTACCAAGCCCAGCTAACATGATTTCTCTTTTTGGGTTTTCAAGACAGGGCTTTCTGTGTAGCCTTGCCTGTCCTGTCCTAGACTCACTTTGTAGACCATGGTGGCCTAAAACTCACAGAAATCCATCTGCTTCTGCCTACCTAAGTGCTGGTATTACAAGCCTACAGCAATGTGCCCAGCCACTTCATTTATTTATTTGTTTGTTTGTTTGTTTTTAATGCCTGGTCTACATGGCGAATTTCAGGACAGCCAGGACTACAGAAACACTGTCTCAAAAAATAAAGTAAATAAATAAATAAAGTCAACCCATTTCATTTAGACCTCAGAATAAAAATAAATAAAAGGTCCTATTCCAATGCTCTGGGAACAGCCACCCAGCATATACACAAAATAAACTTAATGTAGCAAGTGAGGTGAAGGACTACCAAGTCATTGGTGAATGTAAAGACAATACATTTCTGGTTTTAAAGTACAAGTTTCACAATAAAACACAAATGTGAAGGTGGGGGCAACTACAAATAACTAGAAAACCAAAAGCAATAATTTATGTGTTTAAAAAAAAAAAAAAAAAAAAAACTCCCAGAAGGTAAGTCAGTATAATACTTACCATGCAAGCTCCAGGACCTGAGATCAATCCCTAGCACCCATGGGGTGTAATAATGAAGATTTATCCCAGTGTCTGCAAGGCAGAAACAGCAGATCCCTGGAGCTTGCTGTCTAGCCAACCCAGCCAAACTGACCAATCCCAAGTCCCAATCAGAACCTGTCAGCACTCCACGGTGGACAGTCCACTGACCTCCTCCACAGCTGCACACGCGCTCCCCCACCAAAGAAAACAAATCTCAACCCACAGGCAGCCCTGCCTTACCTCTCATCAACTACATTCTGTATATTTAGAAGAACATACAATAGAGCAGATTCGTGCTTACTTAAATCAAATGTAAAACTAGACTAATAATGTGTTAGTAAATAAACCAAATAAAAGAAACAGAACTGAAAAACGGGCATAGTGGACAAGCCTTTAATCTCATCACTGAGGAGAAAAAGGCAGGAATTTCTAAGCCAGCTGGGGCTACATAGGGGGACCCTGTTTCCAAAAACAAAACAAAAAAATATCAAGCAAGCAAACAAGAACGAAAAGGTCCCAGGTTCAATCCACAGCACCAATGAATGAATGAATGAATGAATGAATGAATGAATGAATGAATGAGTGAATAAATGAATAAATAAAAGTTAAAACATTCAGGCTGAAGAGACTGCTCAGCAGTTACTAGCACTGACTGTTCTTCCGTCCAGAAGACCTGGGCTTAATTCCCCAGTACCCACATAGTAGCTAACAATCACTGTACAACTCCAGTTCCAAGGGATCAATGCCCTCTTCAGGCCTTTACGGTTACCTTGCCCACACATGGTGAATAGACATATACAGGAAATGTACCCATCCACATGAAATAATAATTTTTTTTATGAAAATAAAAAATAAATAGGAGTTATGGACATCGATCCAGCTAGGACCGCATAGTGATATTCTGTCTCAGGAGAAAAAAAAGAAAAAGGAAAAAAAGACTTCCTACACGCCCACTGCCATCCTGGAACTCACTATATAGGGCAGGCTGGCCTCAAATTCACAAGAGATGTCTGCCCCCGCCTCCCAAGTGCTGAGACTAAAGGTGTGTGCCATTACCCCAGCAGCCTACTGAAGTCTAAAAGGGTGCTGAGCCTAAAGGAAAAAAGTATCAACTAGTAGTCTGCATTAAGTGCAGTCATTAATAAGTATAACAGTTTTGAGAGATGAAGTCTTCAGAGAAGAAACAATCATTCTTGTGTGCTAATACTGTTTTTCTCTTTTCAAACTAGCTAGCTAGGTAGTCAGGTGGGCTCCTTCCTCTTCATAAGGAAGTACAAAGATTACAGGTTTAACACATCATACTTGGCTGCACGAGATTTCTAATAGGTTTACCTGTTCAGCTTCCACATAAACGAGAGGGAACCCCATTTGTTTGGTCCACGTATTCATCACAGCTGCTATAGGCTTACCACTGGCATTTTCCAAACTTTCCCAGAGATCCTCTACAAGGTAAATGAAAACAATAATCTGAAATGTTTACGTTTATTTACTGTGTCAGAAAATTCATTTAACTCTTAACATTGCATGGCTTATCAACTGCTGTGTCCATCACACAGAGGCTCAAACAAACACCCACCCAGAATGCTACAACTAAGTAAATTCTACTACAAAGAATGTTTCTGGGGACTTGGTGAAGTGCTTGCCACCCCAGGATGAGGTCCTGAGTCAGATCTCCAGAACCCACAAGAAAATTGGGAACATGTGCTGGTGTGGTACTGCATGTCTTTAATCCCAGCATGTGAGAGGCAGGGGCATGAGGGTCTATCTAAGTCTGAGGCCAGCTTGGTCCACATAGTGAGCTCTAGGATAGCCAGGACTACATTAAAAAAGAAAAGAAAAAACAAAACCTATTTCCAAAGAGGAAAAAAAAAAAAAAAAAGAAAGAGAAGAAATTAGTGTCAGCAATATGTTCAGTAAGTTCTAAACAGAAAAATGTAGAAGAATAAGGAGATGACACTAAAAAAATAGGTAAGGACTATAGCAGTGTGGCTTACAAAGAGGTATAGACTTCAACAGGAAGGACATGCAATGGAAAGTAGCACAATACTTGTGAGAGGTAGCTTCTGTCTTAGTTCAAGAGATGGAGCAAAGCAAGCTACAATTACTGGGTTAGTAGGCAATCACAAAATTCTAACAGGTCATAAAGTCATAAATTTAGGGAAGAACAATGAGAAACAACAGGGCACTGAAATTTCTGCAAGAGGATGAAAATCATTCCTGGTGGCCCAAGTATAAGGGAATGCTGATTATTTTTCATAAATAGCACAAATAAAAACACTAAATAGCCAGGCAGTGGTGGTGCACATCTTTAGTCCCAGCACTCAGGCTGGGACTGAGTGCTGCTCTGGCAAGAGATCACATCCAAAGATCTTCTAGGTCTACATGATTGGGCTGGAGTACAAACACGCCTTCAATCCAGGAGACACAGGCAAGTGGATCTGAGTTCAAGGCCAGCCTGGTATAGAGCAAATTTCAGGTAAAGAAAAGCTTAGGTCCAGGCGCGGTAGTACACCGTTAAACTCAAACAATAAAGATAAAATTAGTTTGTAGAAGGAAGGACTCGTGATTCAAAGTGATGTCTAATTGAGTGACAGAAAAAAGTGATGAATCAGAAAAAGATTTGGCAGGACAGGATATGCCCAACTCTCATGAGAAGAGAGGAAGGGGAAGCTACTGAAGGGGCAACACAGAGAGGAGAGCAGGCAGTTTTATTGGGACAGTAACAGAAAGATGGGTTACAGAGAGAGAACGCAGGTGAAGACTAAATAAGCCAAAGAATGAGGAGCCAGGAGATTAGAGCAGATTGCCTGAGTTAGTTTGAGGCCAAGCAGAGCAATTCAGAGGCTGAGAGAAAAGCCAGACTGAGTAAGTTAGCTGGGAGAAGAGTTTGAGCCAGCTAGCCCAGAGCTCAGGAAGAACAAGAAAGGGTGAGCTTATTAAGCAGTGAGTCTCAGAGGCTGAAAACATCCTAGACCTAGATTAAATTGTACAGAGACTAGAAGCTTCCAGGACTAAGCCTGGGTTAGCAGACAGAGGCAGTAGGCCTCCACGAAAACAACTGAAGCAGGCGAATCAAAGTTCATTTCACAACCTCCCCACCCCCAAATTCAATAGCAGATTTTGCTGCTCAAAGTGTACTCTCTATCTGAATACACTAGATCTGCAAATGACTCATCATAAATGACTCTTCCTGTGTAGACTGACATTTTATCTCCAGCACCCCATTGTCTAGTGCTGGGCAATCAAACCCAGGGCCTTTATCTGTAGTTATAGTTCAAGTTATTGAATATTGCCTCTGAGAACAGGTCTAGCTCAGGCTGGTAGTATATATGCTTTATATGCATGAAGCCCCAGGTTTGATCTCCATGTGATAAAAAGACAGGAAGAATGGAGATAAAAATTAAAATGATAAGAAAAATACAAAGATTACCTGTGGCTGCATTCTTTTGCTGGAACTTGGTTAAATACATGTTCATTCCTTTCTTAAAGTCCTGAAAAATAGAATTTTAAATTCAGTGAGTCAGACCTCTGAATTTATAGCAGATATGTACATTAGTCAAAAGTAAATGTACTCAAATGATAAAGTGTCAGATATTCTGAAAAGCGCAGATCCTTTTGAAGCCCACTTTTGCTTTTTAAATGTGGTGCCTTGTTTATCTATTTTTGACAGTGTGGTGGTTTGAGAATAGTCCCAACAGGCTCACATGTTTAAATTCTTGATTGCCAATTGATAGATCTGTTTGGGAAGGATTAGAAGCTGGGGCATTCTGGAGGAAGTATGTCACTCAGGGCAGACTGAGGTTTCAAAAGACTCTTACAATTCCCATTTAGCTCTCTCTGCCTGATGGTTGTCTCAAGAGAGCTCTTAGCCAGCAGTAGTGGGCACACACGTCTGATCAAGGCAATTGCCTATAATCCCAGCACTTGGGAGGGAGGCCAGTTTCCGAGTCCAACGCCACCCTAGTCTACAAAGTGAGTTTCAAGACAGCCAGGGCTACAGAGAGAACCCCTATCTCAAAACAAACAAAACAAGACCTCTTAGCTACCAGTGCCATGCCTGTGTGTCACACGCTCCCCACAGTGGTGAGGTGTTATTAAAATCCCATTAAGTGATTCTTTCTAGAAGTTGTCTTGGCCATGGTGTTTTGTCACATCAATAGAAAATTAACTAATACAGACAGGGTCTCACTATGTGGCCTTGACTGGCCTAGAACTCATGGTGTAGACCAGGCTGACCTTGAACTCAGAGAGATCCACCTGCTGCTGCCTCCCCAATGCTGGAATTACATGTTCAACTGTTTTTAGGTTTTATATCAGCTTCCCATTCCTCGTTTTTGTTTTTGTTCTGTTTTGGAGAAAAGGTTTCTCTGTGTAGCTCTGGATGTCCTGGAACTCAATCTGTACACTAGGCTAGCCTGCAACTCTGCCACCCCAGTGCTGGGACTAAATATGTGCATCACCATGACCTGGATAGCTTCTAATTCTTTCCACAAGAATACTAACTTGTATATCATTCATACTTCTAGGAAACTCTAATAGCCAATATAAAAAAGAAATATAGATAAGCTAAAATTCAAACCAAAATTTTGTTCATGCTTTAAAACTATGGTTTCATGATACAGGATTAAAAGAATTTATTATTATTACCTTATCGCCGATGTAGTCATGTAGCATTCGGATAACAGATGCACCTTTGCTGTATGATATAGCATCAAATATCTCATCAACCTCAGATGGATGGCCCACACTGACCTGGCAGACAGTGTGATTCAGGGTTATGACAGGAAGCAGATAGCCTGTAACACTGAATTACATAAAAAGCTTTCTAGGAAAACCCTTCTAACTCATGATACTCTTTTGCCTTTAACTCGCTCACTCATAAAAGTATATGACAATCCTCAAAAAATAATAACCAGCCTAAGTAAAACAGGATAGATAGTAGAATTCCTACTGTAGTTCACAGCCTAGGTTTTCTCCTTTGAGGAAACGCAAGCTATTAAAGCTCCAATTATTCTTGAGTGTGTCTGGGGAGAATATTAAGATGAACACATTTGATTTCTTCCACTAATCATAATAGGTTAGAACAGCAGCTCTCAACCTAAGGGTCACAAATCCTTTGGGGGTTGAATGACCCTTTCCCAGGGGTCAAATGTCAAATATCCTGCATACCAGATATTTACATTACAATTCATCATAGTAGTAAAATTATAGTTTTGAAGTAGAAGTAAAATAATTTTACGGTTGGGGGGGGGGTCACCACAACATGAGAAACTGTATTTTAAAGGGTCACAATGGTAGAAAGGTTTGGAACTACTTGTTGAGAACAATGGTTAAAGCAGAATTATAACTCCAGTTCTTTGGATACAAAATTTATAAAGAGCCACCCAGGTACAGTGGCTCATTCCTTCCTCACTCTCAGGAAGCAAACCGAGGGTATCACCTGCGACTTTAAGTCCAGCCTCGGCTAGACAGCGAGTTTTAAGCTAGCCAGGATCGCACAGCAAAATCTTATCTAAAAAACAACAAATAGGGCTTAGAATTGGCTCAGTGGGTAAAACAGCTGGCCACAAAGGCCTGACAACTTAAATTCAATCCTCAAAACTTACACTGGAAAGAGAGAAAGAACCAACTCTCAAAAGTTGTCCTCTGGTACCCAGCCTGTGGTATGTGCTCCCACTCACATATAAAAATATTACTATTTATACATGGACTGGAGAGATGGCTCGGAGGTTAAGAGCACTGGCTGCTCTTCCAAAGGTCCTGAGTTCAGTTCCCAGCAACCACATGGCGGCTTATAATCACCTATGAGATCAGGTGCCCTCTTCTGCTGTTTAGGTATACATGCAGGCACTGTATATGTAAAAAAATAAATCTTTAAAAAATAATAAGTACAACAAAGCTGGGCATGGTGGGCACACCTTTAATCCCAGTACTGGGTTAACTTAGCAGGTGGCTGAGTTGGGGGCCAACCTGGTCTACAGAGTGAAGATAGCCAAGGCTACACAAAGACACTCTGTTTCAATCTCTCCACACACAAAAAAAGCAGAAAAAAAAAAAAACCCAATCTATCAATGAAAAACAAAGTTTAAAAACAAACACAAAAGGTAAGGGCAATCACGAACTAGGCAACTGCAGAGGAAGGACGATGACACTCAACTATGTGCTGAACTGTTGTTGAAACCAGTGATAGTATTGCTCAATAAACTGGCTTCCTCAAAACAGTCAATAAAAATACCCACAGTTCCTGCCTCTACAAAGACAATATTTTTATGTTCCCCACCTTAAAAAGAAATGCTATTTAGAATTTAGTCTTATCAGAATTTCAAGCATGGAAATATGAGCTAATAATAAATAAATAAATAAATAAATCACCCAAACGAAATCACCAATACAGCTTTCTTTTCGGTTTAGAATCTCAAGCATTTTGAGACATAATAAATTACTCATTTCACTGAAATGGTTGGAAAGTACAGCTCACTTCAATAGGATGGCTGTTATCTAAGGCGTCAAGTTCCTGGGCACGGGTATAATCTGCAGAAACAAACTGAGTCCAGATATCATACTCTGGAAAGCAGTGGTCTACACAAAGATACTCAATCCAGGATGCAAAGCCTTCATTTAACCAGAGATGAGTCCACCATTCCTAAAAGAGAGAAAGGTACAAACAAGTGAAGGAAACAAATAATAGTCATCCATTATTTGAAAAACATGTCTCCCTTCTATTACACTTGAAAATTTATAACTTAAAACTAAAATTCAATAGAAACCAGTTAGTAAAGAACTCATATTTAAGAAAAAAAGAGAAGAATAAAAAATATTCCAACTGGAAATACTATGGCTAAGTAACTACTTGATGCCAAAATTTTAAAAAAAGGAAGGAGTCTTAAGTGTGAAAAAAAGGGAACACAAAACACATGAGCACAGACAAGACCAGATATAAAAACCTCACCATGTAAAACTTAATCTGAGCCAACTATGGGGATAGATCCTTTTAAAATTTGTATTTATTATTTTTTTTCAATTTATGTTATTTTTATTTCATGTACATTTGTGTTTTGCCTGTATGAAGGTATCCGATCCTCTGGAACTGGAGTTACAGACAGCTATGAGATGCCATGGACTGGGAATTGAACCTGGATACTCTGAAAGAGCAGCCAGTGCTCAAAACTGCTGAGCCATCTCTCTAGCTGCTATGGGGGTATACTCTTATCATCGCAGAGACTGGGAGAATGAAGTAGGAGGATTAATACTTTGGGTGCAAAGTAAAACCTGTTACCTGGCCCTGCCACAAAGAAAACAGTTTTGGTCAGGCATGCTGGCATACACCCTAATGCCAATACTTTAAGAAACAACCAGGTGGTCGCTAGAAATTTTGAGCCACCAGGTCTACATAGCAAAGTTCCAGGTTAGCTAGGGCTAATGTGTCTCAATCAATCAATCAATTAATCAATAAATGAAGAAAAAGGAGAAGAAAGAAAAAAGTTTAATAAAGAACAAGAGTCTCAATTTTCCTCCCTCACTGCCCAGCAAGAACCATTTATTAAGTTCACTGCAACAAGGCACCAGGCTGGACAGTAAACCAGAGGGCTGCTTGCAGCCAAGAATTTCTCTTAAAAACCCAAACCAAACCACAGCTTTCAGGGCCAAATAAGAAATGTGGAAATTATTCACACATGACTTGGAGAAACACTGACTTGGGTTTCTATTTCTAAATAAATATAAGGATTATGTAAAATTTAACAGCAATATCATATCAGGAAGTAGCTGTAAAACAAATGACATTTAAACATTTTTATCTTACATTTTTACATCTGTTATTTAGGATGCATAATGAGTCAAACAGACCAAAAATAAAATGAGTAACAGATAACATTTGGGGGAAGAAAAATATCCCAGTTCACCACGTTGCAATGGCAATGTACAGAAATTACAGCCATACAGGTCTACAAACATTAAACCTTTTTATTCCATTTGTATAAGAGTAACGCTATTAAATATGTGAAGTCTATCTATGTAGGTTTGATCACAGAAAGTAATAAAGAATTCTCTGTATAATAATAAAAAATGGATGACATGAAAAAAATTTAGGAACTAGCCTTTTAGAAAACACCAGTCAGTTTTCATTAAAGTTGATTAAATCTCTTAGTAATTATATAAATCCAAAACAGAGGCCAGAGAATTTTTTTGTTGAATAATAAACGGCACTTATACTCTTTGAGAAGATTACAAATGTTAAATATTAAGTAATAAAGGTTGTGTAAGTGCCATTTAGATGTTAGTAAACCCCAATGAGATAAGCTGGCTCAAAGCTACTAAACACTAAACCTCTAATAAAGACAGTTACATAAATTCTGTAAAAAGTTGTTTCAAAAACAATAAGCACGTATTTCCTCTGCTAAAATATACTGCTGGTGATAAATCAACAATTTTTCTCAAAGTTGAGCAGAAAGATTTGGTAAGAAGAGCAGACTTGCTGCATTAAAAATACCAGCCAGGTGTGGCAGCCTGTGCCTGTGATCCCAGCCAGGTGTGGCAGCCTGTGCCTGTGATCCCAGCCAGGTGTGGCAGCCTGTGCCTGTAATACCAGCCAGGTGTGGCAGCCTGTGCCTGTGATCCCAGCACATGAAAGGCAGGGGCCAGAGGATCTCAGTGAGCTCCAGGCCAGCTTCAGACGACAGAATGAGCTCCAGGACAGCCAGGACTACATGGAGAGACTATCTCAAAAGAGAACCAAACAGAAACATGGACGCTGGTGGCGCATGCCTTGGGCGGCAAAGGTAGGCAATCTCTAGGAGTTTCAAGCCTGGTCTACAGAGCAAGTTCCAGGGCAGTCAAAGCTACAGAGAAAAATCCTGTCTGAAAAAATAAAAAACACAAAACGAAAACAAAAGCAAGAAGAGAGGGAAAGAATACAATTTTTACGCATATTTGAATGTTGGCAGACAGTTCCAATGAAATTATATTAAAATTTAAAAAAATTAACCTCTAAGAAAAGTTTTAAGCATCTAAAGAAAAATTAAAGAGATTATTCTCAGAAATTGGTTTTCTTTAGAAATGCTCTTAGCTAGGTCTTAGTTGAAATATATCTTTCTTGCTCATTTCTAAGACATATGGGCTTAACCAACATCCAATCCAAGCTTAGCTATTTGGCAGCCCACAGTGCTATGGAGGGATCTGTCTCCAGTTCTTCCACTGCACAGGTACTTAGTACTTAATTTATTTATTTAACTCGATTTCAAAACACTGATATAATTGGCTCCCATAGATAGAATTTTATTTATAGTAAAGGTGAAATATCAGGATTAACAGGAACAAAATATATACAGTAACTGAAAACTCCCATTAGATAGTTAAAATTTTACTACAATTTCTCTGTATTTAAAAAAAAAATCTTTATTTCACTTTATCTTATTTTAGGCAACTACAAAAATGACTCATAGGAGGAGCACTTTAATAAATTTTGGGTTTATACATTTCAACTAGCAAACTATACAAAGACAACTCAAGAAACTATAGTTAACCTGGAATCTCACTGTACAATTCATTCCTCTTTGTCTAAAAAAATGTTTTCTCTCAACCAAATTAGTATCTTTTCTGTGTGTGTGTGTGTGCACGCGCGCACATGCTTACTTTGTAGACCAGGATGGCCTTAAACTCAGAGAATCCGCCTGCCTCTATATCCCAGAGTGCTGGGATTACAGGCAACTGGCTCCAAATTACTATCTTAACATTTCCTATTTACAAACAAATTGTAGAAGTTTATAGTGTTTTTCCTGCTAAACAAAGTCTCATTCTCTTCTCATAAATCTCTCTCTTCTCTCATCTCCTCTACATGGTAAGGAACCTAAGGGCCTTAAGCACGTAGAGCAAGTATCTAACCACTGAGCAATTGGTATAGCCCTGAAAATTGCTTTTCAAAACAGAGCTTTTAAAAGAAAACGTTTCCTTTTTGTTTTGATTTTTTGAGACAGGGTTTCTCTGTCTGTCCTAGAACTCAACTCTGTACGGCAGGCTGGCCTCAAACCCACCACTGAAGGGCTTAAAAGAAAATGTTTCTTTTTTGGCATAGCATCATAGCCAAACTTTAAACAGCGTGGCCAAAATAACGTGCAGCAGGACACAGATGGATGTATTTGAGCACTTAAAAATATTCAATACCATAGTAACAAGATTTCCAAACCATTGATGGGCGAGCTCATGTCCCACAACCAGGGCCACCCACTGGCGGGAGGAAGAACACGAGTTTTTTGGGTCAATGAGCAATGCGGTCTCCCTGCGTTTAAAAAGAAGACAAAACAAAATGGTGAAAGCATTTCAATAAAAGAGGGCATACAGAGGTGAAGGAGGTTCAGGCAGTAAGTCAGATGGCTTCATGTTTGGCTTTAGCAATATCCAGTAAACATTTTCTCAGCAAAGGTAAAACAAATAGGGCTCAGGAAGACTGAAGACTACTTTTTTTTACAACAGAAAAACAAAGACATCCAAGTTTATCAGTGCACTGTCTGGTGACTAGGAAGACTGCTAGTCAGAAGACAAAGTGAGTAGCTCAGAAGACAGCCTGAAGTCTTCTGAGAAAAGGACGTGGAGCAGGCTATGCAGAGCTCAGCTCATCTAAAGGCAACTCAAAGTAGAAGGAAAAATTGTTTACAAACTCAGCCTCAGAAATTATGCAACCCACATGTTTGTGTTGTGCTGAGAGACATGTAAAAAATACAGAATCAGGGAGACTCTTAAAGTTGGGCAATAGCCGTGTAAAACTGCTGGGAAGAAACCACACTGAATGTGACTCAGCCAAAAACACAGCTAAAAATGCTACAAGTGCCAAATGCTCCCATTAAAAATACTGCACTTTCAGATAGTAGTACCAGAGAGGGAAGTCCATCTGCATGCTTCAAATATTCATGAAACTCAGGAGAGGCAGAAAAATTTATCCCAGAGTATAAAGCAAAAGCCACTCAACTGTGAATACGAGTGAAGCCCTTATGAAATCGGTGATTTGAAAGAAAGCAGGGTAATGTGTCATTAACATACCTATAAGTAACAAGGCCCCAGTTCTCCATGGCACCTTCATAAAATAAATATAAACATTTATTGATATATATGCATACTTTTCCTCAAAAATCACAAAATTCAAATAAAGTCATACAATTCAGCAATAAAATGAAATTTACTTTACCAGCTGCAAAGTCAGCAATAGCAATGAGATCAATTTTAGGCAGAGGATAAGGAACATTGAAGTAGTCTTTATAAAAAGGCAAGGTTTTAGCAGCAACCTATAAAGTATAAAAAAACAAACAAACAAAAAAATCCCATGAAAACTTTATTAGAAGTCATGTAGAAATCCACAAAGGAACCTTTCTTAAGCCAAACTATCATAAGCGTCTGAAAACTAATCCCAGAGAACCCTACTTCTTTTGAAGACTGTGTTGGCCACTAAGTTTTCTATCACTGGCCAAACTCTTACCCATTTATAAGTTGATATGAACAATAGAACTACATATTTTCATGATATTCCACAGAAAAACAAAAATCTGTTTTTATACTCTCTCTCTCTTTCATCTAGAGCCAAAGTTTGAAGCCATGACTTCATGAACTGCTAAACACAAACTCTACCACCACCATGACTTTCGTATTTTCTGACTCAATGCCTAATAAAATGTTTAAGCAACATTAAGTTTGGTATATCCAGAACGCTAATAGAAGTGAAATGAAAGTACCAAGATAACTTTCCAATTAAATCACAAATAACCATACTAATAATTGATCAGAAATGTAAATTCCCCAACCTGGAGTTATGGACTGTTGGAACAATCCTCTTCAAGGACATTTACCTCTAGCGCAAATTTTCCTTGCTCTGCTTTGCCAACAGGGGTGTAAACACGGACACACACACCATCTTTTGACCTTGTTTCTACAAAGTCGTATTCACCCACAACAAATGCCACCAGATATGTAGACATAACAGGTGTGCGGGCAAACTTCACTTCCACTAAATTTTCATCATCAGGATATGGCTTCCTGTCAATCACATTCTTAAGGGAAAAACAAAACACAGATAAGAAATTTTTAAAGAGATTTATACTGGTATTTTAGAGTAAATACTAGGCAAAATTATAGGCTTCAATATGTTCCCTTTACCTTTCTTAGAATGGCTTACCTTAATCCCAGTTCATCGATATTTTTATATAATGAAGGTCTTTCCTTAGATGAAAAATGATCTGATAAAGTTCTTTTCTATACGTGGTGATATACACCTTTGGTCCCAACACTCCAGAGGCAAAGGAAGGTGGATCTCTGAGTTTCTAACCAGCCTGCTACAGAGTGAATTCCAGAAAAGCCAGAGCTAAACAGAGAAACCCTGTCTCCAAAGCAAACAAACAAAAATGTTCTTTCTCTTCTTTCATTTTAAAAAATATTTTATTTTTTTATTATTTATACAATATTCTGCCTGCATGCCAGAAGAGGGGACCAGATCTCATTAAGATGATTATGAGCCACCATATGGTTGCCGGGAACTGCTCTCAGGACCTTTGGATGTACACTCTTAATCTCTGAGTCATCTCTTTCATTTTTGAGACAAGGTTTCAGTATGTGCCCTTGATTGGCTTAGATCATGCCATGTAGACCAGGCTGGCTACCAACTCGGAGATCCACAATGATGAGATCAAAGGCAGGCACCACCCTGTTTGGTTTTTTTATAGTCTTACAATAAGAAGTTGGAAACAAAGTGTTAAAACACCTAAGGATGGGCTGGAGAGATGGCTCCAAGGTTAAGAGCACTAGCTGTTTTTCCAAACATCTTGAGTTCAATTTCCAGAAACCACACAATGGCTCACAACCATCTATAGTGAGACCTGGTGCCCTCTTCTGGTATGCAGACAGAATGGCATATAAATAATAAATAAACAAACAAATAAATAAATAAAGATAGATAGATAAATCTTTATTTTAAAGGCAAAACAAAATACCTAAGGACTTACATAAAAAAAGAGTCAACTTTTCTTAAATAGTTTACACGGCAAACATTGGGATTTTTCATTTCAGTTCTGTTTTTTGACATAGGGTCTCATTATGTAGCTCTGGATGGCACTGAATTCCTAAAGATCCACCTATCTCTGCCTCCCAGTTGTTGGGATTAAAGACGTGCCAGTTTGCCCAGGCATGCAATGAGATGCTTTATAAAAAAAAAAAGAAAAAGAAAAAAAAAAAAAAAAGACCTCAATACTTTTCAAATGAAAATAAGGACAGGGGAAAGTGAATTAGAAATGAAAATAAAAGTGACTACGGAATATTACATTTTAAAGGGTATTAACTTCTAAATCTCAAATACCCCCTCTGTACCAAGGCTCTTTGAAGAAACTTCCACTTTACTTCTGGAATTCCTAATGGTTTCTTCAATGTAACAGAGCCTTGGCCATCCTGAAACTTGATTGTAAACCAGGCTGGCCTCGAACTCACAGAAATCTGCCTGCCTCTGCCTTCTGAGTGCCCACCACCACCACCCAGCGGCTTCTCAGTTTCTTAAGACTTTCTATCCTTTGTTCCAAGGAAGCATGTTTGTATGTAAGAAACAAACCTCAAATCTGTTCACACTCAACTGTCAAGGAATGTTCTACTTAGTGTATTAGTCTCCTGTCTAGGAACGTCTGAGAAGAAAATGCTCTGGAATTCTTCCCAACAGTGAGTAGGCAAAAACTAGATGTCTTTGGTTTTGACTTCTGGAAAAGGGTCTTACTCTTACTCTTTAGTCCATCCTGCCTAAAACTTATTAGGTTGCCCAGGCTGGCCTTGAACATGCAGCAATCCTTCTGCTTCCGTCCCTCACGTGCTGGGATTACAGGCATGAGCCACCATGCATAAAAAGTCAGGAGCTGTCAGTTGTGTACAGTGAGAGTCTAAGCCACCTGGTTATTACTGACCTTAAACAATACAGTTGAAGCAACAAAAGCTTATCTTACTTTTATGAATGAGATCAATAATAACAGTAAAGAGAGCATAGTTAAAAGTATAATCAGTCAACAACCTTTATAAAGATACCTTTTAATACAGCCATCGCTTCTACAATTTACTGAGAAAGACAAGACACTCTTATTTCAGGTAGTACACATTAAGGTTGTCCCCTCACGTTTAAGCAGTAGATAATCTGGGCACATGGACACAATACTAACACAAGGGAAGGTAAAGCCAGAAGACAGGTATGATTTCAAGGCCAGTTTGGGCTACAAAGTGAATTCCAGGACAGCCTTGGAAACAGTGGGTCCTGACTCAAAAATAAAACAACCAAACTTAAGAATCTTGCCAGTGGTTCTAGCAGGGAGTCTTCCTTGAGGAAAAAAACCATCAAAATGCAACTAAAGAAAACAGGACTTACTGAAAATAAAGGAAACTAGTAACAATGGTTCTGTAATGCAGTAAGCACTACATTAAGTGGTTCATGGTATCCTAATCAACAAAGCAAACATACCAAAGACTACTAAAAGCTTATTAGCACATACATACCATGTTTGATAAAGCCACTCTGTCTTTAGGAACAACCAGTGAGATATCAAAAGTTGCTTTGATAGCAGGCTCATCCCAGCAAGGAAAAGCCCTCCGGGCATCAGTAGCCTTAAGGAAAAGAAATATAAACTTATATAAACATTAAATTAGCTTCAGAGGATGTTTCATGAAACCATTGCCATTTTTGCTAGCATTCATTTATTAGTTTAGTCAATTTTTTTCTTTCATTTTTGTAAAAATTTTATTTAATGTGTACAGGTGTTTTTTTTTCTCTCTCTCCATACACACACACACACACATATATATATATACACATACACACACACACACACACACACACACACACACACACACACACACACACATATATATGCTTGTAGTGGGTACCTTTGGACACAGGAAGAGGGCATCAGATCCCACGGAACCAGAATTACAGATGATTTTGAGTAGCCATGTGGGTCCTGAAAATCAAACCTGAGTCCTCTTGAAGATCAGCCTATGCCCTTAACCTCTGAGCTATCTCTCCAGCTCCTTCTTTTCTTTTACTTTTTCAGTATTGGAACTGAAACTCAAGGCCTCATGTGTGAGAGGACAGATAATGAGCTGGGTGCTGACTACAGAGTAAATTCAAGGCTGCTACCACTGTCACACTAACAATTATCTGGGAGTTATCCTGCTACACATCATGATGAAATGACCATCATTTGTAACTATACTTTTACTTTTATTAAAATATTTTAACATTTCAGATTTAACATGAACAGCTTTAGTAATAGTATAGACACAATACAAAGCACAGACCATTTAACCCTACTTAGAGACATCATTCTTTCTATGAAATTTAAAAATGGGGCTAGGGAGAGTATGCACTGAACAAGCAGGATGAATTAAATTTGAGCCTCAGAACTCATGTTTATGGTGGTATTTGTAATCTGGGAAAGTCGAGATAAAAAACCTAGGGCTCCTTGGCAAGCTAGTCTAGCCTAATTAAAACTTTTTTTTTTTTTGGTTGTTGTTTGCTTTTTGAAACAGGGTTTTTTTGTGTGTAGCTTTGGCTTTCATGGAATTGCTCTGTAGACCCAGATGACTGAACGCTCAGAGATCCGCCTGCCTCTTTCACCTCCTGAGTGTTGGGATTAAAGGCTTGTACTACCACTACCTGGCTCTAGTTGAAACTCATTAAAAAAAAGAGCTAGCACCTGAAGACTGACTCTCTGAGGTTGGACTCTGACCTCCATGAGCACACGCACACCTGCACATGTATCTGCACCTGCTCACACACAAGCAAAATGAACAATAATCAGGCATGGCACATGCAAATGATCCTAGAACTCAGGAGATTAATAAGGGAGAGTTTAAGGCGAAACTCAGCTCCATAGTGACTTTTAAGCCAGCTGGGGCTACATGAGACCCTGTCTAAAAGAAAGAGGGAAAAAAAAAAAAGGCCAAGAGTGGTGGCACAGTTAGAACAGGAGCACTTGGAAGGCAGAAACAGAATGTCAGAAGTCCTAGGATATTTTCATCTCCACAGTAAGACTGAAACCAGACTGGGTTACATTGAGAGCGTAGGTCAAAAATACTGACTGCTCTTTCAGAGGACCAGGTTCAATTCCCAGCACCCACATGGCAGCTCACAACTGTCTGTAACTCTAAGATCTGACATCCTCAAATAGACATACAGGCAGGCAAAATACCAATGCACATAAAATAACAGGTCATTTCAAAAAACAAAACAAAACAAACAAACAAAAAACAAAAACAAAAACCCAGGTGTGGTGGTGCACGCCTTTAATCCCAGCATTCAGGAGGCAGAAGCAGCTGGATCTCTTTGAGTTCAAGGCCAGCTTGATCTATCTACAAAGCAAGTCCAGGAGAACCAAGGCTCTTGTTACAGAGAAACCCTGCCTTGAAAAACCATAAATAGATAAATAAATAAACAAGCTTACATCGAAATATATTCAACAGCTTTGCAAGATACCAGTTATGAAAAGAAATCAACCTTAGTAAACAGAACAAAATCCTAAAGTGGAACCTATGATACGGTTCTGTATCACGAGAAGAAAACATGGAGCAAAGAGCACGCACTTTCCCAGCACTGAAGCCAAAGGTGTGCGCCACCACGCCCGGCATGGTATCATTTTTTTAAAGATTTATTTATTTATGTAATTTATGCATATGAGTACTCTATTTGCATGTATGTTTGCATGACAGAAGAGAGCACCACATCCCATTATAGATGGTCATTATACACGGTCCCACCATGTAGTTGCTGGGAACTGAACTCAGGACCTCTGGGAAAAGAGCCAGTGCCCATCTCTCCAGCTCTAGAACACATTTTTTTCAATCAGTGTTGAAAAATGAACTCAGCATCTCACATATGCTAGGAAAGTACTCTACCACTGAGCTATGGAGGACTGAATTCTCAAAGTAAATCATGCATCCTATCAGTGAATAATTAAGACATTGACAAAGAAAAAGACAACATAAAGAAAGAAACTACAGGAGCTGGGTGTAATTTCCTGTAATTTCTCTTAAGAGAGAAACCCTGTTATGAAAACAAAAAAAAAAAAGAAAAAAGAAAAGAAAAACAGTTCCCAGCACCTATGTTAGCAGCCTTACAACACCTGTTAACTCCAGAGGAACCAACACACACACACACACACACACACACACACTCTAAAATTATGTACTTATAATTAGAGTCACCAAGTAAAACAAACGGCATGAATATAGGAAAGGGACCTGGGGTAAGTAAGGATGGAAGGGAGGTTTAAAAAAGAGGAATATAAAATATACATGTGTGAAACTGTCAAATTTAATACATTATTAAATTTCATAATAATATTAAAAACAAAAACAGCTGGGCACGTGGCAACACCTAGAATTCCACACTCGGGAGGCAGAGACAAGCAGATCTCTTGTAAGTTTGAGGTCAGCCTGGTCTAAATAATGAGTTCCAGGACAGCCAGAGGTACATAATGAGACCCTGTCTCAAAGGACCATTCATGGAGATAACCTAGAACCCCTGCTCAGATGTAGCCCATGGCAGCTCAGTATCCAAGTGGGTTCCCTAGTAAGGGGAACAGGACTGTCTCTGACATGAACTCAGTGGCTGGCTCTTTCATCACCCTGAGGGGGAGCAGCCTTGCCAGGTCACAGAGGAGGACACTGCAGCCAGTCCTGATGAGACCTGATAAGCTAGGATCAGATGAAAGGGGAGGAGGACTTCTCCTACCAGCAGACTTGGAGAGGGGCATGGGAGGAGATTAAGGAGGGAGGGTAGGACTGGAAGGGAATGAGGGAGAGGGTTACAGCTGGGATACAAAGCAAATAAAATGTAATTAATGCAAAAAAAATAAAAATTTAATTAAAAAATATAAAGGTGTGAGGTTTTTGGATAGGTGGGGAAGAGAGATAAATCCAAGACAATCCAGAGTCAGAGCAGTGGCCACAGCCCAGTACCATGCCTTAAAAAACTAAGGAAATCAAGGACTTTCTGTTCACAGCACAGTGGAAGGATGCCAAATCCGTCAAGATCCAGAACACGGATAATGCAATGTTCAAGGTTCACTGCAACAGGTACCTGTATAGCCTGGTCATCACAGAGAAGGCAGAGACATTGAAGCAGTCCCTAACCCCTGAAATGAATCAGACTTCTACATTTGAGTATTAAAAAAAAAAAAAAAACCTGAATAGTGGAAGAAAAAAACCTAGAGATGTACTGCAGCTAGGATTCCAGGACAACTGCCAATAATCAAGCATACATAAATGTGATGTAGATTTTGGTTTTGGTTTATTTTTTGATAGGGTAGCACTACGTAGCATTCTGGCAGCTTTCAAACTCACTCAGCCTAAAACAATAACAACAAAAGCAATTCTGCTATTAAATTTCATTAGCTAAATGTGTAGATACACATGAATTTGTCACCATTCTCCAATTCATCTTTTTTTTTTTTTTTTTAAGTTTCCTTTTTTAAGATTTCTTTTTGCCAGGTGCAGTGGCCCATACCTCTAATCCCAGCACCGAGAGGCAGGAGCTCCCTGTGAGTTAGAGGCCACTCTGGTCCACAAAGCTAGCCTAGGGGTAGCCAGGACTACACAGAGAAACCCTGTCTTCCCCCAGACCCCCAAGAAAAGGTTTATTTTTATTTGTAAGTGTATGTGTGCACGGATGCAGGAGAGCAGGTGCCCTCAGAGAGAGGCCAGAGGGTGTCAGATCCCCTGGAGCTAGAGTTGTTCAGATGCCCAAGGTGGATGTTAGAAATCAACAAACTCAGGTCCCCTCTAAGAGCAGAATGGTCTCTTAAATAATGACCCACAACTTTCCAGCCCTACTTACCTTCTTTATATAAAGAGAAATAATCCTGAATATAAAATAAACGTTCTAGGGCCAGGCATGGTAGCATACACCTTTAATCTTAGCACTCAGGAAGCAGAGGCAGGTGAATCTCTGAGTTTGAGGCCAGCCTGGTCTTCAAAGTGAGTTTCAGAACAGCCAAGGAAGGCTACATAAAATCAAAAATAAAATAAAATAAAATAAAATAAAAAACAAAACCAAAAAAGAATGACATTAGTGAAGTAACAGATACCTCAAACTGCGTGACAGCAGCATAGCGCACTTCTCCGGCAGGGGTGGTGTATTTACTTCTATAGAAGCCTTTCATTTTGTCATTCAGCTCTCCAACAAAATCTATCTTTAAGGTTCCTGTACCTGTGATTGAAGACGAATAAAGATCTTTTTTATGGAGATGTTAATAAAAACAGTATCAAAATATGCCCCCCCCAGACATTGTATTCAATTGGCTATTACATTGTACAAAGCATTTCCTTTCTCAAATACTCCTTTGGGCACTGAAGAGAGTAATCTACTCAGACTAATCCTTAAAGTCTTATTTAGGGGGACTGCTTAGAAAATAACTTCACTAAGTCTCAAAGTACCACAATACATGAAGAAAACATTTATCATTAAATGTCTTAACACATATTTCTGTGTATGGGACTTCTAAAAATATTTATGAATATTTATAAAGTTAGAAGTATTGTCCTCTTTTTTAGAAAAGGAAACTGAGGGCTGAAAATTTAAAGTGACTTTTCTATGGTCATAAAATTAGTAAGCAGCAAGAATGTTTTCACCTAAAACATGTTCTCTGCCAATTACATCATGTGATTAGTCTGTTTAGATAATTTCAAGCACACAAAGAAAAATGTAGCCAATTACTCTACCATTAAAGACAGCATTTGTTTGATCCAGATAGAACACTGATGACATAGTCTTGTAAGGAATTATAGGGACGATTAATTACTTGATCAACTAAAGGGCATGAAATAAACTCTGAGAACTACCTCAATTATCTGAGCACAGATACTAAAGAAAGAAGTTACTAAATCCAAGCACAAATAAATGCAACCTAAATACACTGCCCAATTGTCGTAAGAGCAAAACTAGTTTTTGCCTATACGTATAACTTTTGCTTTTATGTACTATTTTTACTAACAGAATAAAGATAATTATATCTAGTTTTCACCTGCTAAATTCACATTTAAGGCAAAACAATAATCCCATTCTACATCTTACAATCAAGTCACAACACATGAAGTATCTTGAAAAAAAAATGTTGACTTGGATCTGATCTGTTCCACATGGCTATTTATAAGGATATCTAGAGTGTGTGAGTCTAACCAATAAAGGACGTGAAGGAAAATGAGAAGCCAATCATACCAGATTGTCGTATCCTAATACTTCAACCCGCCATTCTGCAATGCGTCAAAGTAATGATGTCTGACACTGATTCAATGTCACTGACCTTTTCTCCTTTGACCTATCCTTTTATATGGCCTTAAAGTCAAAGTTCATGCCTAAAACTGAATTTGCTCTTTGGAAAGCTTCAGAGTCACACAAGTACACGTCTTGTGTACAGGCAAAGAACACAAGCCCCTGCTTGCACTTACAGACAAGTGCACCTGCCACGCAGTTAGCCTCATTTTCTCATGTTATCACTAAGTGATTCTGACAGGGGTTTTGTTCATATTTTTTTGTTTTTGTTTTTCGAAACAGCCTTGGCTGTCCTGGACTCTCTTTGTAGACCAGGCTGGCCCTGAACTCATAGTGATCAGCCTACCTCTGCCTCCCGAGTGCTGGGATTACAGGTGTGCACCACCACACCCGGCTTGATTCTGACAGTTATTTAAGACAGAATTTCATACTTGCATAGCAAAGCCCTAAAATAGTCTAACATTCCTAAAATAATCATACTAGAAAACAACACTAATAGCTTAACTGAAACTCAACTGGACAGACAACTGGACAGTTTTTAAATCGGACACTTAATCTGTGACATCTCAAGGGACAATGGTACTTTCTGATGTGTGTGCTGGGATGAAGCAAAGGATCATGAACAGGGCTAACAACATTTTCTGCAACTGCGCCAGCCCAACCTCAGGGAATACTTTTTCTTTAGTGAAAACAACTGATTGCTAGGACAGTAAGTATCAACACAATTATGAGACTCTACAAGAATTATTAATTATGATGATAATTAATGATGATAACTAAGCAATAACTTAGTAATAACTACGGAAAAATTTAAGAAAATAAGTGGCTTATTCTCTATCTTCTATAGGCTATTTTCTATATTACTATGTTTTAAAAGCAGATGTATCAACATTATTAAGGTTTGCAAAGAAAATACAAGAATTTCTTAAAATTCCATTACCCTTAGTGGGAATTGTTTGATGAAACAGTTGCACAGATGAAATTGGCAGTCTTTCACTGTCAAGATGTTTTCTAATATAAGTCACATTCATAGTAAATCTACTTTCAATTTTTCCTACTTGGAACAAAAGTGGATTTAAAACTCATAACTAAATAAGAAAGGCTGCTTACACTTTTACTTGGTTTTAAATCTCGAAGGCCATCAACCCATAACAAGATACTGACAGTGACCACTTCCAAAGAGTGGCTTACTAAACAAAATACAAAGTATTGGAAAGGATAATTACCTGAAATTCAAACAAAACACAAGTTAAAGGTTTTTTTAAATCATTAATAAATTAATACGTTTCACATCATACAATACTAATCACAAAGTATTACTATTAACATAATTTTAGGGTAACTAAAAAAAAGGGGGGGTTTGTTTTACAAATTTCATTTACCAAATACCACGATGAACTACCAACTGATCTTTAACTTTACACCTATTCTCATGTTACATTGTTCTCTCAAATTAGATAATTAATTTCAATACCCAGCCTCCTTAACATCTGGATGGCCAACCTTTAAAAATGTAAAGCCAGCCGCCAGCTTACTGGGTCACACCTTCAATCCCAGCACTTGGGCACATTTCTCTGCTTGAAGCCAGCCTGGTCTACACAGTTGGGAGTCCTGGTCAGCCAGAACGGACTACACACTGAGACCCTGTCTCAGAAACAAAACAAAAACAAGAGCAAAAAGCCAAAACAAAAAACAAGCCATAAAATGATTAAAATTAAACATAATGGCACACGCCTGTAATTCCAAGCACTCCAGGAGGCAGAAGCAGGTAGCTATCTGCGGGTTTGAGGCCAGCCTGCTCTACAGTAAAGCGAGTCCAGGAAAGCCAAGGCTATACAAAGAAACTGTCTCAAAAAAACAAATCAACCCAAAACAATAACAACAAAACCCAGTAAAATTAAACAATTAAAATAATCACAACATCCATCAAAAACACAAATGTTGAAAGTTTAGGAAATTATGACTGTAAAACCTACATGTCTTGAAGTAATTTAATAAGCTTACTAAATGCTGTAAAACTAAAAACCAATTTATATAAAAAATACTAAGAACTCTGTTTCTCCATATTGATGCCACTTTACAGGATTTTGAAAACTGTTCTCAAGCTCTTGACAATGACTATGAGATTTAACCAATATTACAGAATAATGCTAATATCACATATGCTTTACTTAGCTATCTGATAACTGGTATAACTGTTAAGTTTGAAGAGACAAAACACAAAGGCTACTAATGACACTATAAGATTATGTTCAATATTTACTCCATCAGCCAAGACCAATTCTATAATATGATAAAAATATGAAAAGATAAATAATGTTTTCTTAAGATTTAGTTGTTCTTATTTCTGCCTAATTCACAGATATGTTGAACGTAAGACCTTTATTTAAAGCAAAAAAAAAAAAAAGCCTGGGTAACTGATTCTGAGAACTTTGGTATAATATGGATGTCAATGATTTTCCAACAGACATATTCAATAATTTAAAATTTAAAACTTTTGTTATTATTATTGGTTAGAGGATAACGTTATAGAGCCAGTTTTCTCCTTCTACCTTTACATACGTTCTAGAGATTGAATTCAGGTCACCGTGCTTGGGTGGCAAATATCATTACCCACTGAGGCATCTGGATGGCCCAATATTCAAGACTTTAATAGTCAACAGTCACACCTGTAGGACTTTCTAGCATTTTTATTAGTTACAGGGGATCTGATGCCCTCTTCTGGCCTCCTCAGAAACCAGGGCAAGACATACACACAGCCAAAATATCCATACATATAAGTTACATTAAAAACCCAAATAACTATGATATCATTTCTAACAATACACAGGAAACTGATTCCACTATTGTGATTAAAGGCCTCTACCAACAAGGCCCATCCATAAATTACTTTATTTTTACCAAGTAAGAATTCATAGTTTTAAAGCAATAAAGTAGCTCCAGGCTTACATATAAGCTACAAGTCCGAGCCAGTGTACCCTCAATTCTCCGTAAGTGCCTGGCAGCCAATGGTTTCAACTCTGATTTCTAAACACTTGTTTATAAAATATAACTGTATTCACTTAAAACAAATATTCATTATGCTAGGCAGGGGTGGCTCATGCCTTTAATCCCAGGCAGAGGCAGGAGGATCTCTGAGTTTGAGGTCAAACCGGTCTACAGAGCAAGTTCCAGGACAGCCAGGGCCACATAGTGAAACCCTGTCTCAAAAAACAAAAACAGAACAACAAAAAAGTTCACTTTTTATGTCTGGTGCTTCTCTTGCACGTGTATATGTAGACTACACACGTGCCTGGGGCTCCTGAAAGCCAGGAAACAACATATGATCCCCTGGAACTGGAATTACAGATGGCTACAGGGACTTCCTGAAGGCAGACACTTGCAGTGGAGTCAGAGGACAATTTTGGGAACTAGTCTTCTCTTTCCAACATGGTATGAGACTGAACTCAAGTTGACAGGTTTGTGCAGGAAGTGTTTCTACCTGTCAAGCTATCTCACCAGCCCAGAAAATATCTTACAGTATTACTCTAACACAAATTCATGATTTGACTAAATATGGAATTCCAAGTTGAAAATCTGATTGATTAGTATTTTACATAAGCAATCGTTTATTAGAGTACACATTCCATTGTTCCTGCTAAAAGTCTAGTTGTAGGGCTAGGGTGCGGCTCAGTTAGTATGCTTGTCTAGCATATACACTGCCCTAAGTTTGATTCCAAGTACCCGATAATATGGGCTTGGTGGTCTGTAATCCCAGCACTTGAGATGGAGGTAGCAGGATCAGAAGTTCAAGGTCACCCTTGGATTTATTATTTGAGACCAGTCCAGACTACATGACACCTCGTTTCAGGATATAAAGCAATCTACTGCTAATCTGATTCTTAAACTTTGAAAATAATACGCTAGCTTCCATCCCATACCAACAGAAATTCTCTGAAGCAGGCTGGAGAGATGCCTCAGCTGCTAAGAGCACTGTCTGATCTTCCAGAGATCCTGAGTTCACTTTCCAGCAACCACATGGCGGCTCAAAATGATCTATAATGAGATCTGATGCCCTCTTCTGGCATGCAGCTGTACATACAGAGCACTCATATACATAAAATAAATAAATCTTAACAAGAAAAGAGAGAAAGAAAAAGAGAAAGAGAGAAAAAGGAAGGAAGGAAGGAAGGAAGGAAGGAAGGAAGGAAGGAAGGAAG